AATATAACAAGAAGATTTAGGATTTGCTTAAGACTCTTAGTCTATAAAGTGTTGAATAGCTTCCTTTTGTCCTTAGTACTTCTCATTTCCACTTTTTTTCACATTCATATGTCTTTTATTTTTAAATTCATTATTTTTCTATTATTTCTTTGTTTTATCATAAGTATACTCTTTAATCCCTATCCCCTACTTCTCCTATCCACCTACTCACCTCCCCTCTGCTAATCATCAGTTTGTTCTCTGTGTTTAAGAGTCTGTTTCCTGGTTTGCCTCTCTCTCTCTCCCTCCCTCCCTCCCTCCCTCTCCCTTTTTTTCACTTTTGTTCATTTGTTTTATTTCTTAAATTCCACATATGAATGAGATCATATAATATTTGTCTTTCTCTGATTTGTTGCATTTAGCATTATACTCCCGACCTCTATCTCTCTTATTGCAAATGGCAGGATTTCATTATTTTTTATGCTGAATAGTATTTCATTTCATCATATCTTCTTTATCCATTTATCAACTGATGGACAGTGAGCTGTTTCCATAACTTGGTTTTTAGAGATAATGGTGCTATAAACATCAGGGTGCATGTATCCCTTTGAATTAGTATTTTTGTGTTCTTTGGGTAAACAGTAGTACAATTGCTGCATTATAGGGTAGCTCAATAATGAACATCCAATTAACTGAGATTCCATACAGTTTTCCAGAGTGGCTCATCAGTTTGCATCTCTACCCACAATACAAGAGGGTTCCTTTTTGCCCACATCCTCACCAACATGTGTTGTTTCTTCTGTTTTTGATTTTATCCATTCTGACAGGTGTGACAGGTTTTCTGACAGGTTTTTTTTTCTTTGAACAGGCCTCTGCATTTGCTGTTCAGAAACATCATGTCTCTATGACTGCACCCCAAAGTCATCTGTAAACTTTAGATCATTACTAGGAATATCTGCTGTTTTTGTTTTTGTTTATTGTCTCATTGTCTCTACTCATCTCGTAGGTTACTTAGGTAATTTTTTTCCCCACTCCCTTAAATGAAGTTATGTCACACATCTCTAACACAATTACATTTTTAATTTAATTTTTAATAAATGTATAACCCCTTTACAATTTATGCATCCCTATACTCCCACTTATGGCAACCATCAGTCTATTGTCTGTACCTATGAACTTCATTCACTTTTTTTCTTTTTTACTTTTTTTTTTATTTTTTTTAGATTCCTCATGTAAGAGAAATCATATGGTATTTGTCTTTATCTGCCTGACATTTCACTGAGCATGTTAACTCTCAAGGTCCAGTCATGTTGCCACAAATGGCAAGATTTCATTATTTTTATGGCTGAATAATATTCCACTGTTTATATGTATATACACATGCACATTTCAGTTGTTTCCATATCTTGGCTTTATGAATAATGCTTCAATAAATACGGGAGTGCATGTGTCTTCCAGGTTAGTGTTTTGTTTTATTTTGTGTAAATACCCAAAAGTGGAATTACAGGATCATATGGTAGTTCTATTTTTCATTTTTTGAGGAACCTCCACATTCTGTTTTCCTAGTGATTGCACCAGTTTACATTTACAGCAGCAGTGCCCAAGGGCTCCTTTTTCTTTGCCAACACTTGTTATTTTTCCTCTTTTTGATAGTAGTTATTCTGATTGGTATAAGCTGACATCTCATTGTGTCTTTCATTTGCATTTCCTTATACTGATGAATGATGTTCAGCATCTTTTCATATACCCTTTGGCCATCTAAATGTCATCTTTGGGCAAATGTCTATTCAGATCTGCTGCCCATTTTTTAATTAGATTTTTTTTTTGCTATTGAGTAGTATGAGTTCTTTACATATTTTGGTTATTAGCCCCTTATTAGGTATACTCATTAGGTATTACGAGGTGTAAATTATCTTCTTCCATTGAGTAGGTTTCCTTATCATCTTGTCGATGATATTAGGTATACGAGGTGTAAATTATCTTCTTTCATTGAGTAGGTTTCCTTATCATCTTGTCGATGATTTTCTTTGCTCTATAGAAGCTTTTTATTTAGTATGATGCAGTCCCACTTATCTGATTTTGCTTTTCTTGCTTTCACTTTTTTGTGTCATTCAAAAAATCATCACAAAGACCTGTTTCAAGGGGTTTCCTGCCTACGTCTTCTTCTAGGAGTTTCATGATTTCCGGTCTTACATCGAAGTCTAATCTATTCTGAGTTAGTTTTTGTATATGATACAAACTAGTGGTCTACTTTCTTTTTGTGCAGCTGTCCAGCTTTCCCAACACTTTTATTAAAGAGACCGTTCTCTCCCCATTGTATATTCCTGGCTCCTTTGCCATAAATAATTTTCTCTATTCTATTCCACTGATCTGTGTGTCTGTTTTTGTGTCAATACAATACGGTTTTAATTAGTGTGGCTTTGTAATGTAATCTGAAAACAGGGAGTGTGAAGAAGCCTCTAGCTTCTTCATTCTTAACATTGCTTTGACTTGTCAGAGTCTTTAATGGTTCCATACAAATATTAGGATTGTTTGTTCTATTTCTTTTTGAAATGCCATTGTACTTTTTTCAAAGATGTATTTATTTACTTGAGAGAGAGAAAAAGAACATGAGAGAGATGGGGAAGGGCAGAGAGAGAAGGAGAGACAAAATCTCAAGCAGATGAGGGGATAGATCTAACGACCCTAAGATCATGACCTGAGCCACAACCAAGAATCAGGTGCTTAACCAATTGAACCACCCAGGTTTCCCACCACTGGAATTTTGATAGGTATTGCACGGAATCTGTAGATTGCTTTGAGTAGTATGGACGTTTCAATAATATTGATTCTTCCAATTCATGAGCACAAAATATCCATTTATTTGCATCTTCTTCAATTTTTTAATGCCTTTCTTATGCTTTTAAAATTGTTTTTAAAATGCATGGTAAGTGCAAACTGAATAGTAGGATAAAATGAAAAGATGAATGAAAGAGGGTGATCACTTGGAAATACAGAAATTTGGGCAGCCCAGGTGGCTCAGTGGTTTAGCACCGCCTTTGGCCGGGAGCATGATCCTGGAGCCCCGGAATCAAGTCCCACATCAGGCTACCTGCATGGAGCCTGCTTCTCCCTCTGCCTATGTCTCTGCCTCTTTCTCTCTCTCTCTCTGTATCTCTCATGAATAAATACATAAAATCTTTTTAAAAAAAAAGAAATACAGAAATTTATAAAGGGGGAAATTTCAGATTCAAAATAAAAGGTTTCTCAAGTATAGAAATACTAGATCTAAAAATAAATACTAAAACAGAGGAGTAAGTATTTATTGGTGTTTGTCATCATTTTATGGAAGATTTTCATTCATATACTGCAAGTATTTTAGGGAGAAATCTTACTTTCTTATTCTAGATACTTCTGTCACAAAGTATGGCCTAACCTGAACATTACCTCTAAAGTTTATCAGTTTGCTACCTAGCAGACAGTAAAATCACGGTTTATCTAGACATTGTGGATGATAGATACTACCTACAACTGCCTGGTCATCTTGGTGGTCAGTGGTGCCGAAGAACGTATTTTAACTGAACTGTGTAGACTGAACTTCAGTGTAATCACTTCCCTTCTGTGCCTGGTGGGAAAATGTGAGCAGAGAGCTGGACATATAAAGAGGTTTTTTTTTTTTTTTTTTTTTTTTAATGATTAGGAAGCCACATCTTTCTTCCAACCTACTTACAGTGCTTATTGTAAAACACATAAAACAAAAGTGATGAAAGAAGGAGACTGGATACTGTGAGTAGTCAGAAGACTGGCGCACAACATTTAAAATCTAAGCTTTGGATTCTACGATGGATTAATTTGCATGTATATGTATGTATTTTTGTAGTTGTGAGGTTTTAAATGGCCACCAGAGTGTATTTCAGATGGCACACATAATACATTGAACTGGAATCCCAATTTGGGCTTGCCATCTGTGTACCATGCTGATTATTTTTACAGAACTGAGATTTTGATCTCAAAAATGAAAATTTATAAAAGCACCCAAACTGGGCTTTTTGTAATATTTATTTTCCTTCTTTTTTGTCTACTGACTCCCATTTAGCAAGAGCACGGACTATTCTTACTGAGTTAAGGGAGGTACCAAGATGGCACTGACCTTGGCCTTGATCGTCAAATCAGTGTATTAAAGCTTAGCTGTGTATTGGTTTGTTTTCTATGTAGACTTTGCCATGGCCATGACTTTCATAGAGTAATTATTTTGATTAAGTTCAACAATGAGAGTTAGTCTTGCATGAGAAAGAATACGCTTGGGAAACGATGATGGATGGACTCCAGTCTTCAGAGTGTTTAGTCCTGCCAGCATTTTCCAGTTGAATGGACATTCACCTCCCAGTTTGGTTTGGGTGACAGTGAATGGATTGTCAGACCTGACTGTTTCCTAGAAAAAGATAGAGATCAAGAAGGATAGATGACAGTGTGAATATCCACATGTGTTCTTGCAGTTTTTCCCAGATATTTTTCTGCTTTGATGAACAACATCATTATTGAAATAATAAATGTTAATTAATATCTGCGTCACTTTTTGGTAAATGGTAGTTTAGTATTACAATTAGACTAATTAGTATACACCATAGCTTGGTGACATGACAAATCATGGAGCAGAACGTGTTGACTCTTATCCATTATGATATATTAGCTAATTCACTTGCTCAGTAATGACAAAAGAAAAGAGAGACAGGGAATTGGGCAGTAACAACAGCAACGACTCTAAGGGCATTGTGGGCACATTTTCAAGGTTTTGTCTTTCTGCCATGTTCCTGAGTCCTATGGATCATTAACATTTTCCATTTCTTTTCCCATTGGTACATCATAGTCTCTGACTGAATCCTTCAGGAATAAGATCATGAGTAAATAAAGAAAATGAGAATAAAAGATGACTTCCAGATTTTCCTAGGTTTACACAGGCTGTGTCACGCTCAGTGTTTGAATTTACCAGGACTATTTGTTATAAAGGTGACAGCTATCTGCATCTCTGATGTATTTTTCAGAACCTATGCGAACCCCGAAGACGTTAAAGATTGCTGAGATACAGGCAAGACGCATTGCCGTGGACTGGGAATCCTTGGGTTATAACATCACTCGTTGCCACACTTTTAATGTCACTATCTGCTACCATTACTTCCGTGGTCACAACGAGAGCAAGGCAGACTGTTTGGACATGGACCCCAAAGCCCCTCAGCATGTTGTGAACCATCTGCCACCTTATACAAATGTCAGCCTCAAGATGATCCTAACCAATCCAGAAGGCAGGAAGGAGAGTGAAGAGACGATTATTCAAACTGATGAAGATGGTATGTTTGTTCATACTTCGTTATTTTAAAAAGGGGGAATTATATAACGGGATTATGTAATTGGTTACAGTTTTCTATAGAGTCGCCAAAATTACTCTTAACAAGGTTAACTTTGAAAAGAGTTTGCCTTAAACAAAGAAGCTTATTAATATCCTTCGGAGTAGCATCTAATATTGGATGAAATGTACCCCTACTGTTTTCTGTTTTTATATGTTAAAGTAACAACTACACGAAATTTTAAATACTAAGTTTTTCCTATCAAGTGTGCAAAAGTAATTTTCACTATTCATGGCATTACATCATTTACCTATTGGCGAAATGCACTTGACTAAAATTCAGGTTTCTGCATTTTACAAACCAATAATAGCAGCTTTCATTTTCCTTAATATTTGAAAAGAGCACTGTTTGCCTGTTCCACTCATTTTTAGATGGTCTTATGTAAGTTTAAATACAAAAGAAGGTTTGAAGTTCATATTTTTAAGTCTAAAGGCCCTTATCAGATATCGGCAAGCTGTCATCTTTTATCCATTTAATTACCACCCAAGGAATTTAACTATATTATGTCCAATTTCTATGTGTATCACTTCAGAATTATTAAGTCATAGGAACATTTATATTAATATCATAATTTTCACACACCTGCTATAGCACGATAGTTCATCATTAATGTGAATGAGTACCTTTCTTGATTAAAAGTACAAATGACGATATTCTGATAATAAAAGTAAGACAGGTAAGATATTTCATTTTTTAAAGATTTTTATTTATTTATTCATGAGAGACACACAGAGAGAGGAAGAGACACAGGCAGAGGGAGAAGCAGGCTCCCTGCGTTGAGCTCAATGTTGGACTCGATCCCAGGACCCCAGGATCATGACCTGAGCCAAAGGCAGATGCTCAACCGCTGAGCCACCCAGCCATCCCTAAGATGATTCATTTTCAAAATTTACCACTATGAATGAAAGTGTTTGGGGAAAAAAACATGGCCTATTTAGTGAATGGAGGCAAAGCTGGACTGTGAGTCAGGACTCCTGAGTTTTCAGTGCTGGCCCTGGTAACTCTATCACCTTCCACAATCTATTTACTCGGCTAGGTTTCCATTTTTCATCTCTATATGAAAGTTTAAATAAGATGTTCTCTCAGGTTCCATCCCCTTCTAAAATTCTCCTTGAATCACCTGTCAGTAGGGCCATATTTTTGTTTGGATTTCAGAAAACAGGATGTATTTCATACTCAAGTGTTTCCAGTTTGCCTCAAGTTCTCAACTTTAGGCTCAGCTGTATATTTTGATGACTATCAAGTATAAAATTGCCTTAAGATAGGTCAGTATACCACTGTTTCTAGAAGTTTCTCTGTATCACTTCAAGCTCTCTCACTCTGGAAAGTAGAAATCACCCAGATTTGTTCTATTATTTTTGTTGTCATAAAGAGAAGTGAGTGCTTTTCAACCTCATTTAGCTCAGATTTTGAAGGTAATAATATTGTCCTAAAATATGCATGGAGTTATTCTCATGTTTCTAAAATTTTCAAAGAACAAACCTAAGACTTATTTATGGTAAATGTACTTTGTCCATGTGTAAGGAAACCAAACATGATTACCTCAATTATCATACTTGAACTTGCACCTAATATTTCAAACAGTAAAACTTGCTCTAAGACATAAACACACACTCATCCACCTCCCCAAACACACACATAAACACACCCCAACACATGATTGTATAAAAAAGAATAATTAGCATAGTTGCTTCTTAGATGTGTGATAGAAACAAAGTCTAAGCACAGATGCAAAAGCGCTGAAAAATATCTCATTTCATAACGTGAGATAAATATTAAAACATTTGCATTACACTATACATGTGTAAGCCATGTCTTTAGTAATAAGAATGTACTCACACACTTTATTGCCTACACTTAAAATTTTAAAAAACTTGGATTCTTAATTGGTTGTTTTAGACTCAATTACATTTGTGCTTCTTTGACAGTCACTCTCTAATAATATAATTCATTTTGGCGGTGTACTTTGATATGGCTTTTAGTTTGCCTTTCTTCCCCATAAAGCAAAGAATATAGTCAGGCTCATATAACTTGTTCATATTTCATTAAATTTTTAAATGTATTTTTGGGTGCACATACAACCAAATTAATAATCAGGAGGTGAATTGCTATGGAATCTTTAATTATATCCTAAATTCATCAACTTCATGACTGTGCTATTTTATAGAGATACAGTTTTATAAACATAAAATGAAATTAACTATATAGTATGCAATTTCAATATCATTTCTTTTTTTAGTTTTATTTTCATCTATGCTTTGAAGAACCTTTTTTTATCGGCTATAATTATATGAGTTGCAAGGTCATGGAATAATTCTACCGTGAGAGTTTTTTCTTTTTTGTTTTAGATGTAAAACTAAATGACTGAAGGACAAACTTCATATAAAGTATTTTCGAGTAACTCAGTCTTCAGATCTGCCCACATGAACTCCATTTTCTACATAGAATACTTTTTTTTTCATTTTAAACAAGAAGTTTATTTAAACAACAAGACGCTTGACTTGAAGGGAAAACTATCTAAGATTCATTTCTTTTAGAGTAATTTATCCCTACTTAAAGACAGATTGCCCTACATGTAACAGCTACATACAAAAAAGTTATAAAATTGTCCGTTTTACAATGATAAATGAAAAACATTAAAATTCTCCAATCGAACAAGGTTTGCAAGGATTTTTATGTTGTTCTTTTTTTTTTGTTAAACAGTGAGAGCAAAATAACTTACTGGAATATAAAGATAAGAGCTGACTGAGCATGCCACTAATGGAGAGAGGGGGTATTTTCACAGAAGCAGTATTTTCCCCCATCCCATCTCCATTTGATGTCGATCAAAACATACCATTGGCCATTTAGTCAAAAAAATGCAATATGCTTGTGAACATACACAGTTACTTTATGTACAATAAAGGAATGGGGAAGGGGAAAATGAAAGAATAGAGAAAACTATACTGTAGTAGTCAGGATGTGGTGGAACCAAATTACGGCTTTCTATTTGAGAATGTCTTCTTGGTCTGGAGGAACAGAGTTCTGGAGTAAAGTAGCAGGTTCCCTTTTTAGTAGACACCTCCTGTCTGCTGCTGGAACACATCAATTGTATCTTCATCCCCCATTTCCAACTGTGCAGGTGTGTCTGTTTCATTGATTGGCTGCCCATCAAATCGGAATCTGATCTGCCTCATTGACAAACCCTGTCGTTCACAATAGGCTTTCATTAGTTTACTAAGTGGTGTATGCCTCTTAATCTTAAACTGCACCACAGAACCATCCTGCCCCGCCACCTTCAAATTAATATGATCGTTGTTCTCAGTCTTCACTCCTTCCTTGGGCTTTTTGTCGGCCATGGCGAGTGCCGGAGTCTCCTCAGCTGCCACTTCACAAAAGAGGTACCAGGTCCGCACCGAACAAGCACACAAGCAGCACCAGGAGCGGCAGAAGAAGTCTACATAGAATACTTGATATGACTCAGTGTTCCTAAGAGGGGGACAAAATATCTAAATCATAATCTATGGTTGCAAAGATCGATGGGTTATGATGATCTAATTAAGTCAGTCTTACTAAATTATTGCTGCCCTATATACATAGAAAAAGAATAAATTATCAACCATCTAATAAAAGAATATAATTTCATGAAAAGAATTCTAGGGACATCCATAAATCATGAGAGCAAAGCTAAAATGATTTCCCACCAGAACCCTAAGGTAGAATTTATATTTAATTTATCGCATACATTTTTTAATGCATGGGTAGAATTTTTTGTATGAGATTTTGTTTTCATTTTTTTATCCTCCCATTTATAAAAATCAATATTATGAAGTTAGCTCAGCAGAAAACCCAGGTTTGAGGACATTTTTTGCTATACAGAGTTATTTTTAAATGTACATTTATTATATTTTAAAGTCTGCAGTGCTTATTTAATATAATCTTGCCCCACCCACATTTCCTTTTTCCTCTCTCTTCTATTTTGAAAGTTATATTTTAAAGGACTTTCTTATACGCAAAAAAAAAAAAAAAAGGCTGAAACAGCTCTCAAATAAATCACAAGCAGGGGAATGAAAGTCAGCATTCTGTCTCCATTAAAAATTGTTGATGTGGAAATGTAGACATTCCCTGCAGTACAAAGATGCCACGATGATGGGCTTAGTAACTTTGTGTTGTATTCACACAAATCAAAAGTACATATAGACATTATATGTAAACATCGTCTTCCTTCAAAGGTGAAGAGTTCCTGAATATAATTTACCTGTGGCCACTCCCCACCCCAGCCCACCTGTGTCCGTGTGTGCTCTGTAGGGCACCGACCTGTAATTCTCTCGTCCACTCCACTAACCCTGGTGCAAGATCCGTAGCATGCTACTGTCCGGGCCAGGAGTTTTCCACAAACTTTTCCCTCTTACAAATATGGCCTGCAGGTCCTCTTAAGTGCATTTTATGGACAAAGTAGGGTATGTGCAGGAAAGCGGACAGAGAGCAGCAGCTGGTGGTTCAGTTGGTGTAGGGTCCCAACTCTTACTCTCAGCTCAGGTCTTGATTTCAAGGTCTTGAGGTTGGGTTCGTGAGTTCGGGCCCCGTGGGCTCCTTGCTGGGTGTGGAGCCCACTTATAAAGGGGGGGTGGGGAAGAAAAGCAGAGAAATACACAAATTCTAGGAAGGCTTCTCTTCAATTCTACTCCTCTTCCAATGCAGAATTATGCAGACGTTTCTAACTATCTTTATTTGTAAACCATTTGAAATACGTCCACATCGTGTTATATAGTATTTGTTGGCCATATTGTGGTTGGTGACACAGGTAGTAATTATAATGCCACCAAATAAACAGTTTCTCCCTAATTGGGGTCCTGCCTCCGCAGCCACCATCTATGAAAAAGGTGAAGAAATGCTTTTCCTTAATTACAATCATAAGCTTGTTTTTACTCTCCTCAAATGACACAACACGTATCACCCTTGTTGGTTAACTAACGCCCACGGCAGCCTCCAGAAGTGCCCCCGAGAGCCCCCAGGGCCGTGAGGACCCATCTGCCCTGGCCAGCTGTGCAGTCTCTGCCCTTATAGGGCCTGGGACGCGCAGGCAGTGGAGACTTCGCTTAGCCTCTCCCCGTGCCCGCAGCTGACCGCTGCACGTGCAAGCTTCTGAAGTTTAGTGCCAGCATCTTCTCTGCTTATGGGTTTCTTTCCTTTTTGGTTTTTTCTTTATGAATTTATTATTAATGTGCCAAATTAGATTAGCTGTCCCAGAGGTCATAACCTCATTCGTCGTCTCCTTGTGGTGTGAAATAAATCTTCCTCTTTTGACATATCATTCAGAATTTCTTGATGTTGCTAGCAACGAGACAACGCATTCCCTTTGATCCAGTGATTTCTAATTTATTTCAATCCTCACAAAATTGCTGTATACTCCGCAACTACATTTGCAGATAATGCCATGTGTGAAGTTCACTGAGACGTTAGATTAAGGAAGAATATTAATTAAAAACCATACTTGCCCAATATTGGGTCAGTATTTCAAAAGAAAACACATTTTTAAAGCAAAGTAGGATGGATAGGGTACATGTTTAAACATTATCTGAACGAGAAACTAGATATTTGTGTGAATAGCAACTGTGTATTTAGATAAAACACACAAAAGCAAATAGCAAAAGCATCTGATGTTTTATATTTTGTCAATAGAAACTGACACGTTGTTCACCGCTGTCACTGGGCATTGTCAGTTCTATGACATTTGCAAATAAGGAGCTGGTTCCTCAACTGTTGTCATACCTGGGGACACTTCAGCACTGGTTATGCTGATTGTTGAGTTCAAAACAAGTCTGATGTTATAAAACGGCTTGATGCTTAGCGTTGCAAAAGTAATTTCATTTAAAAGACCGAAGCAATGATATTTGAACCTATTCATCTTCGTGTTTTTTAAAATTATAATCATCAATGCTGTCCTTTCTAAGTTATAGAAATGAGGATAGCACAAAGAGTCAGGTTGACTATTAATGGGCATTTCAAGTCAGTATTATATGACTTGGCTTTTGAGTCCAAGGAATGTTAATTATTATTATAATTATTTAATGACATTTGTTTATGGAGACACTTGGGCTTATCATAATCTTCAGAATATCTTTCAGGGAAATATAGCTCTGTTCTTGACACAAATTACAAATGAGATCTTCATGTTATTAGAGATATACAACAGAGAAAACTAGACTACACAATTTATTCAACTCTCTAAGGGGATAGAATATTCTTTTGAATAAAAATAACTTTAGAATTGTACATTGTCTCCATTGGAAGCTTATAGATTACTTGAAATTCCCATTTGTTAAAATCAGAAAACTGGTGACATAGCTTATTTTCTTTTTAAGAACACATTTTTTTTTTTAGTTTTTAATTTAGCTTGTATAACTTACAGTATTTACTTTTTGTGTTTCTGATGTAATGATCTTTCTAACCAAAAATGTATATTCTTGTAGTGCCTGGCCCTGTACCAGTCAATTCTCTTCAGGGAACATCCTTTGAAAATAAGATCTTCTTGAACTGGAAAGAACCTTTGGATCCAAATGGAATCATCACTCAATATGAGGTATTGGGACAATAAGGAAGTTCACTGAAATGTGGGTTGAAGGGAGAGTAAAAGGAAAAAGTTATGGAGAAATAATGGAAAATAAGTAAGTGAGGATTAGGGGATCACAATCATTTTTATTACTCTTCTGTTTTAGTTTACAAATTCCTTGATCCCGAAATTGAGTTTGAAAACAAATACTGGATGGCACCTAGAATTTTCTAATTCTTAAAGTAAATGTATGTTTCTGTTGTTGTTTTAGGGAAGCAGGATGGAGCTTTTCAAACAGACTTACTGATGATTGTAAAGAATGAATTTGTATAAAATTAAGATACTCATGCTTTATACTGTATTTAGGGGAGGCCACTGAATGTTATTTCAGAATAAATTCAGAATTACTATCTAAACGGCAAAACATATTACAAACCTGACTATTCCAGAGCTTTATCTCAATTTTGATTACAAATCATTATCTTATTTTTAAATAGGAGAAACTGAAAAGAAGAAAAGATCATCCTAATTGCACAAATGTGTAGTTCTGTTCCTGCATAGTCAGTGTTGATGAGGACACAAAACATTGAAATTTCTCGTGGCTACGAAGTGCATCATGGGAATGGGAATCACTAGGGCAGTCTTACAAAATGTGACTGTATGAGCACTCGAGTGCCATTTACATGAACTCTGTTATGTAACTCGGACAAAATAGGATGATGTGACTTGTAACAAGCATTTGTTGATGGGATCCCTGGGTGGCGCAGCGGTTTGGCGCCTGCCTTTGGCTCAGGGTGCGATCCTGGAGACCCGGGATCGAATCCCACATCGGGCTCCCGGTGCATGGAGCCTGCTTCTCCCTCTGCCTGTGTCTCTGCCTCTCTCTCTCTCTCTCTCTCTCTCTCTGTGACTATCATAAATAAATAAAAATTTTAAAAAAAGCATTTGTTGAACACTTTCTGTGTTTCATGTACATTAAAATATATAACCATAAGATTGTGTATTTTTGTGTACCCATATTTAAGTAAATTAATTTATCTTTTGATGAAAGAAAACACGTATACAGGTCTGATATACACGTATACAGATATGATACCTCTAGGTATATCTATGGATGGCTGAGTGGCTGGCCGGCTGGCTGGCTGGCTGGCTGGATAGACAGACGGACATCAGATACAGACTGACTATGAAATAACATATCCAAATGAGAAAGAGGAGAAATTTAAGAAAAATGTGATTCACTCCACAGAGATAACCCTTGAATGCTACCTTATTTAAAAGAGGTTTATTTAGATTATAGCATGACTTATATTGGAAGTGTAATAGTGAATCTGTTTCTTTAAACAGGTCAGCTACAGCAGCATAAGATCGTTTGATCCTGCAGTTCCAGTGGCTGGACCTCCCCAGACTGTATCAAACTTATGGAACAGCACACACCATGTCTTTATGCATCTGCATCCTGGAACTACCTACCAGTTCTTCATAAGAGCCAGCACCGTCAAAGGCTTTGGGCCAGCCACGGCCATCAATGTGACCACCAATATCTCAGGTATGCAAAGGAATAAAATGCAAACAGGATTGGTTTGTAATGGCATGTTCTAGAGAATCATATACTCAGGGTAGTCATCTCACTTACTAAATCTTTAATACAGTTAGCTATTCCCGATTGAAGGTTCGTTAAAGAATTATGTGGATACTACTCCTGAAACTGGTATTACACTATCTGTTCACTAACTAGAACTTAAATAAAAATTTCAAACAATGATATATGAATACGGATTACAAATGCTTACATGTCCAAACCCCAAAATATCTCAAATAGTCACTTTTAATTGACAACAGTCTTTTTAAATATGTCATTTTATCTTAATTAGAATTACGTAAAAATTTATTATGAATGTTAACAGACTTATTATACCTTTGAGGAGAGTTGGTAGTTATGGTATCAGATATTTACTGTAAGTATATTTTATCAAAAGAATGATAGAGATCTTTGATCTGCTGTTACAATGACACATACCTTGTCTCTTTTCCATTTTCCCTGACATTCTGATATTTTTAAGCAAATATAAGCCATTCTTTCTCTTAAAAAAAATCACATGTATATTCATCTAAATTTTAGAATGGGTTTAGGGTACTGGAGAATTTAAGTTGATAGACAAGTAGAGCTAAATTTCACATTATTTTATGTTCACAATATCAGTTTGTAATTGCCTAGATTATTTACAGATACGATTTCTCCTTCAGTCAAGTCATCAGTTAAAACCTGATTAAATTTGGCCAGCAATTAGCATGGTAATATGCCCTAATGCTCTTCTAGCTTATGTAATGTTTTATCTTAGTAATTTAAAATGATTAAAATAAATACATATTATATATGTAACATTTCCATTTGTTAACATTTTGAATATAAAACCTTGAAAGTTTATATCATGAAAAATATTAGCTATTCCAATATGAGCTATTTATCTTTTTCTAACAAAAAAGAATTTTAAAATATCATCCATTATGTCAGAAAAATAACAATATATTGAGGTTGCCAGTTGACTTCCTTTTTTTTAATTTTATTTATTCATTTATTTATGATAGTCACAGAGAGAGAGAGAGAGGCAGAGACACAGGCAGAGGGAGAAGCAGGCTCCATGCACCGGGAGCCCGATGTGGGATTCGATCCCGGGTCTCCAGGATCATGCCCTGGGCCAAAGGCAGGCGCTAAACTGCTGCACCACCCAGGGATCCCGCCAGTTGACTTCCTAATGAAACAATTTTAAATCATCCATTTAAAATATTTATTGAATCACTAGAAAACATGATCTAATGATATCATTGTACAGTGAAACATGTCTCCCGCCCTCTAGAATGAGCCAGAGTGCTGTATTTGAGTAAGATCCTTCAATAGAGATAGTTACAAAATTACATGAACTTGTAAAACTGAGAACATTAAACAAATAGGCATTGTCAAGAACCAAACTTTATTATGGTTTAGACATGTTTTTTTATTGAATAAAAAATGTATAATTAAAGACCAGAATACCCATCTAGCATTTTCTTTGAATTATTTAACTGCATTTTTACTTGAATCAGCCTATGTACATGGGTACTTGATTTGGACTTTAAAAACTTGATTGCAATCACTGTGTCTTCAGGACATGTAGTAATCAAGCTGAGGCTAATAAAATTTATGGGTAGCGTGATTCTCAATATCAATTGAAATTTTAAGGTAATTTATTGTTATTTATTCCTTGAGTGCAGAAATTATATCCCTTGCCATTTTAAAAATATATTTTTTTAAGATTTTATTTACTTATTCATGAGAGACACAGAGAGAGGCAGAGACACAGGCAGAGTGAGAAGCAGGCTCCATGCGGGGAGCCCGATGCAGGACTCGATCCCAGGACCCCAGGATCACACCCTGAGCCAAAGGCAGACATTCAACCACTGAGACACCCAGGAATCCCTTAAAAACAATTTAAATAAAATTAAAATCAAGTTATTGGAGGCATGGTGTATGTGTGTTTTAGTACGCATATTATATATACAATCACATGTGTAGACACATTGTATATATTTAATATCTGTTGATTGTACTTCCTAAATAACTCTTCAGATAATTTGTCTCTTTCTGATGTCCTTTCCATCTAGATCATATTTTAGACAGACTGAACTTATTTAGTGCCTGAAATATCTTTCCAGGCACTATCCTTACCTTCAGACTTACCTTGCTTTAATGTGTTTTTCTATGGATATTTACACAACATATATTTCTTCCCTAATTTTTTTCAAAATCTAATAAACTGTGTTTGGTAGGACAAAGTCCAAACATCCTTGCATGATTAGTGTTTGTGCCCATTAAATTTATGGCTCTTCCCATCCACCACTCCCACCCAGGAACCCAAAGCTCCAGGCCTAGTAGCCTGCTTCTAGCCATCAGAACACGTCTCCTTTCACGTGGATGAGGTCTTCAAGTATCTGCTTCCCATCTCTGGCATCTCACTGGATGCTTTCTTGTCCTGACGAGTTTTTTACTGCCCTTTTAACATTCAGCTCAGGCATCGTCTAAATCCAGAAGTTGTCTCTGTTTCATTTTTCTAATTCCCAACCCTGGTTTAGACAAGTGGTTCTTCTTCCAGGTGTGGTCCACAGACCAACAGCATCAGCCTCACCTGAAAATTTTCTAGAAATGCACATTATCAAGCTCCTCCCTGGGCCTATCGAATTAGAAACTCAAGGAGAAAGGGGCAGCAGTCTGAGTTATAAGAAACCCTTCATGGGCTTCTGATCTCATTAGTTTAAGAACCCGTTTTAGCGAATGAACTGATTTCTCTTTTCATCACTTAAAATTTGGCTATATATATATATATTTTTGTATAAGATTCTCACTCTTGGGGTGCCTGGGTGGTTCAGTCGGTTGGGTATCTGCCCTTGGCTTGGTTGTGGTCTCCGGGTCCTGGGATCCAGTGCCACTCCCTGCTTCTTTTTCTCCCTCTCCCTTGGCTAGCTCCTCCCCACTGCTCGTTCTCTCGTTCTCTCTCTCTCTCTCTCTCTCAAGAAAATAAATATTTAAAAAGAAAAAAAAAGATTCTCACTCTTGATAAAATGTGAATCTCTACTTTTAATTCTATAACTATCAGAGACCATGTTTTGTCTTTATACTCATAGCATGTATAACATTTGACATGTTGTATATATTCAGTAAATGTTCAATGAATGAATGAAATACTTTGACATTTATATTAGATACCATTTGTTCTCAGTGTCTCTGATAACTAGTTTTCCTAGTTATGTCCTCCCTAAAATATCTTTCTACGTAGAAATAATTGAAAGACATTTGAGGTCACTTTTTTGCCCAGGTCAAGATTGGGAAGGCCTCTCCTGTACCCCCAACTATTATCAAATATTTTGAAAATTTAGGAGTTTCTTCTTTTCAGGAATCTGGCAGCTAATGCACTAGTTCATGCTAATTAAAAACTGCAGTTCCAAAAAAAAACAAAAAACAAAAAAACAAAACAAAACAAAAAAAAACTGCAGTTCCCATTCCCATTCACCACACTTCCTTGATATGTTTCTGTTCAGGCTGCAATCCAGATACGAACACTGGGCCATTCCACGACCTTTATATCACACACAGGAGCACTCAGCAGGCAGCCTTGGGCTCACTTGCTACCCTCTCTGTCTCCACATCTCCACGTGCGAATCCATAACCAGGACTCTCCAGGGTCGACACTATTCACCTCCCATCCCATCAGTGCAGGTTTCAAGGTCTCAGGAAACTAAAAGCCAAAGTACCTTCACAGAATGTCTGGCATGTATGTCCAGGTCACCAGGTGATGATTTAAATTTCAACAACAGGGATCCCTGGGTGGCGCAGCGGTTTGGCGCCTGCCTTTGGCCCAGGGCACGATCCTGGAGACCCGGGATCGAATCCCACATCGGGCTCCCGGTGCATGGAGCCTGCTTCTCCCTCTGCCTGTGTCTCTGCCTCTCTCTCTCTCTCTCTCTCTCAATGTGTGCCTATCATAAATAAATAAAAAATTTAAAAAATAAATAAATAAACAAATAAATAAATAAATAAATAAATTTCAACAACAAATTGTGGCTTCATATCTTCTGCTGCTTTAGATTCCCAAGGTTAACATTCAGTAGTATATGTTATTCTACAAAATAAGATATATTTTAGAAAATCAAGATTTTTTATTTATTTATTCACAAGACACACAGAGAGAGAGGCAGAGAGACGAGACAGAGGCAGAGACAGGCTCTCTGTGGGGAACCTGATGCTCAACTCGATCCCAGGACCCCGGGATCACTCCCTGAGCCACAGGCAGATGGTCAACCATGAGCCACCCAGGTGTCCCTAGAAAGTTAAATATGTGATTGGTTTCCCACCATTTATTCATCCTGAACTATCATTCTGTTGACAGAAACTTATTTCTTCTCTCATTAATCCCTTCCAGCTCCAACTTTACCTGACTATGAAGGAGTCGATGCCTCTCTCAATGAAACGGCCACCACGATAACCGTGTTGTTGAGACCAGCACAGGCCAAAGGGGCACCAATCAGGTAAGAGGGGGAAAATAATAGTAACAGGGGAAAACAGCAGCAGGTGAGATGTTTTCTCATAGTTGCTTGGTGGTCGATACAGTGATTCATTTCTAAGAGATGTTCATTTGACGATGACTGTCAGAAAGGTTTTATTTTTGTGTTGTTTTGGTTTTGTCTGGTTTTCATTTGGACAAAGCCTACGGATAGACTTTTAAGAGTAAAATTCTAAGGGGGCTTTTGAGATATTCATGAACTGAACCTTTCTCTGTACTGTTTAAGAGCCTTGCTCTTTGATTTTTATTTTCCTCTAGTTCCATTTCATTCCACCTCCTCTGTTTGTGTCTATGGGATATGAGCTTTGAAGGTATTTGTCAGAAATAGAGTGGGAAAATAACTCCTGTCCAATGCATTAAATCTGTTCTGAATAATTTCATATGAGTGATTGAAAAATAGGAAGCTTTGAGGAAATAAAATGAGATTAGTTATAATGAATGCAGCTTATGTGACGTTTTAATTCCTAAATTGTTGCTTATCAGGAATTCCTAGTAAATATTAAAATTCAATTTGCCATTTCCTTTTTCTGTCCTATATTAAAATCTCCCATATTACCCTCATCTTGCAGATTATGAGCCATGCTGTTATCAATTGATTTGAATTATCCCAATGATTTTAATTCTTCACATTTGTAATTAGATAAATGTCCAAAGCCTAAGCAAATTTCCTTATGGGACGTGTAGATTTTGTGAATACTTTTATTTTTATACTTACCTCCAGAAGTAAATCAAGGCACAGAAACCAGTGAAAGTATTTCATAATTAACTCAGGTTGTTTACATAATCACTAAGAAAATAAAATTAATCTTTGTTCTGTGTGGAAAGTAAATACATTTAGCCTGCAAGCACAAATGAACCATTGGACCAGTCCCTACATGATAGGGAAGGAAGGTTTTTTTTTTTTAATTTAAAAAAAATGAACAGAAGAAATTGAATTCATAAAGAAAACTCCTTTCTGTTCTAGCTAAAAGTCACAGGAAAACCATGCTGGAGAGCTAGAGGGATGACTAAATAGACTTGTGATATAAACACTTAGGAAGCACGAGCTACTTGAAAATGGAAAGTACGTATATAGCGCTATTCAGGAATCAGTGATCTGTGAGTGAATCTGATTGCTGATCCAGGGGAGAAGGAGGAAATGCCTGCATTCAACATCTTTTTCTATTGACAAGTAATCAGGGTCATTCACATGTTCCTACCTGTGATAAAATTTACTTTCTAGGTGCTCAGTTCTGCTATGGCTGCTTAAATGAGCTACCAGGTACTTGCATTCATCTTGTAAGAGTTAGATATTTGAGTGAATTCAGCTTTACTTAATGTAAGCTGCACCCAGAAGTGTATGATTATTATTGTACCCTCGTGCTAATTACTGTCACTTATACCAGCTCTTTATTCATGTAATCAATTTATTACACAAACAGTAACTGATTGTGTATTATGTGCCTGGCACTGTGCTCAGCTGTGTAAATCAAAGACAAAATGATCACAACTGAACACACAGCCTGTGCCCAGATCTGTCACGGACCATCAGAGGGGTCTGCAGCCTTGGAAACCCTTTGCTCATAATCAGTGTTAAGGAACTTTATTGAATCAGTGAGTATGTTATCAATAACATGTTTTGAAATCAAAGGCCTTTCTAGTACTTTGTTGACATTTACTTATTACAAAATTTTTGATTTCCAAAAATTCATACAGTCTGAACTAGTGGTTATACAGAAATCATCCTTGATAATCCTGTATCCTCTTTTCTCTAACACAGAAATGTACTTTGTATTTGTTGGGAAGACCTTTCACCTTTTCTGGAATTGATTTCAGTGGCCAAGAACTCCAAATTTTACATTGTAAGAGATTAGTGCCCCCCAAAGACTTAATTTACAGCCAGGAATTCTATAAGAAAAAAATAATTAAATGATATATAAGCAAATAACTATTTTAAAAGAATGTTACTAAAAGGGAAAAAAATAGGTTTCCAAATAATATTCTAATCCATCCTGCCCATCATTATTTTTTTTACAATGACTTGCCCAGCTATTTGGGACTACCCATAGGTGGGGACCAGGTGGCAGGACCAGACTGGTCTAGTTGGGCAACTGGGCTTCTTATGAGCTCTACTTCCTTTGCTGTTTTTTTTTGTTGTTGTTGTTGTTTTTTAATATTTTATTGATTTATTTGAGAGAGAGAGGGAGAAAGAGCAGGAGCAGGGGGAGAGGCAAAGGGAGAGGGAGAAGCAGACTCTCCCCCTGGCTCCACCCTAGGATCCTGGGATCATGACGTGAGCTGAAGGCAGACACTCAACTGACTGGGCCACCTAGGTACCCAGCTTCTTTTGCTTTTTGAATCTTCCCAGGAGATAATCCTGTCTTCTTTCCTCTGACCACAACCCTACCTTTGATAATGCTACCAATAACCAGAGCCTAATCCTAAGGCTTATCTTGTCCAGTGCTTTAATTTCTTTGAAAATGAGGACCCAAATTGGTATAATCCATTTTCATAGATCTGTGCTTCAAATCTTTGTCTGGATGTCCATCACTTCTTTAGACTCCTGAAACAATTTGACGTTTCAGGCAGATTCTTATTTATGTTGGCCCATTCAGATCTCTTACCTGCTAATGCTTGGGCTGTGGCCATCTTCTCCCCTCCCAGTGAAAGCTGGGCCTATTTACCACCCAGCTAAACCTCCTGAGAGCATCTTGTCTGTTAGTTTTGTCTGCTACGATAGGCCCTCACTACTAGGAGCTGTCTTGCCCTACTTTACCAGATTGCATTAGTACCCTCTGCCAGATTGCATTTTACCAGCCATTTGTCCCAAGTCCAGACAAAATATCTAAGTTGTTCTACTCCAGTTTTCCTTATGTCAGACGAACTCCAATTCGTAAAGCCTCTAGCACCTCATTGTATAGAGTCTGTACATTGAGGTCAGGTTAGTGTTATCGAGAAAGCTAAAGTTACCAACGGTTCCTAGAAATTCATTGATTCCAGTTACATTCAATATGCGCCAGGGGCTGGACTGGATACTTGGACTAGAAATCCGTGGAAGGTGATCGCGGAGGTGCGGTCAGTTGGGAATGGCAGACGCATAAATCAGGGAATAACAATGCAGCATAAGAAGTGAAAAGACAGCAGTTAGGAGCTGTGGTACTAGAGCTGAGTTTTGAAGGTGATGTAAGCCTGAGCTCAGCCAGGGTTGCTTTGGAAGGGGAGAGGTTGCCAAGAAGAGAAGGCATGGTGGTCCTCCCCGACAATTGTGAAGCAAATGATTGGATGCATGACAGTGTGGTCCATTCCAGAACTGCCCGTAGTTCAGATCATGGAGGGGGAAGGGTCTGTGGGAGAAGAGGGGCGAGAGAAGTAAGTGGGGGCCAGAGGAGGAGGCTCTTTAGCGCCCGTCCAGCAACTGAATGTGGCCACAGAATGACTGTAAGCGGAAACCATCATGAGCAATTTTATGTTCTTGGAAAGATCACCCTGATAGAGAGGATGAGCTGGGAATAAACCAGGCTGAATGCAGCGTGGTCCCCGTGGGGACCATGAGAAGGGACCTCATGGGGACCATGAGAAAGCTCCATGAGAAGAGGAAGGAGACGAAGACTTTAGATGAGAGGTGATGACAGTTTTTATTTTACAAGTGGTAGCAAAGCCAAAGGCCATCTAAGAATCCAAGATAAATTTTTGAGGTTATTAAGTAATCACAAAGGTTGTTATATGTTGTATTTTATTGCTATCCCGAATCAAAAAGAAGGCAGGCTCTCTCTTTGTGAGTTCTTTTGTATATGAGAAGTTATAATGTGCGTTATCTAGTTCTTGTTTTGCTTGCTAAACTATCGTGATGTACATGGAGCAAATAATGTAGACTCCAGCAAAAACATCCTGTTCTAAATAAGGCAGCGCTCAGGGTCACCGACCACTTTGTTCTTCTGTTATCCTCTAGGACTGGCCTTAAAGTGTCCACACGCTAATGTGAACGTGTTCAGTGCAATTCTGGCAAGTGTGGGTTTTTTGAGATAATTAATTTTTGAATATGTGATTATTCTAATGGCCAAAAGCTGCTGTCTTACTCACCTAGACCTTTGAGTCTCCTTACCAACTATTTAAGATCTATCCCTAAAACTGGCATCACTTGACAATTATTATTAGTATGATTCAGAAGGACTATTACCCACATTTGGAACCAGTTCCCTAGAATGCATAATTTATTTCCCCCCTTTTTTTTCTCTAAAACATTTTCTGTTTTTCATAGTCGGATTCCAATTCTAACCTGAGTAGATATAATCATAAATTATAATGTATAGAATGTCCCACTTATTAAAAGATTGACCATATGTAGCTGTGTTTTCAAATAATGAAACACATAGCAGCAGCAGCATATTGCAGAAATGGGGAAGAGTCCCTCAGTGGTGAACTCGGTTTATTTTATTGTAAGACGTAACAAGTGAATGCATATGTAATTGCAGCATTTTCCAAATAAAAACCTTACCTATTTTAAGCTGGCAGAAAGCTAACTATTTATTCTAGGATAACCAAATGTTTATTTTGTGGGTAAAACTTAATTTTTCACTTTAAAACATTAACTGCCTTGTATTCTTAGGTAATTAGGAGATAGTCATGAAATGCAGTCACAATCACCCTTTCCTTGCAGCCACTCTGGAAAACAGGATGGAGGTTCCTCGAAGATGTTAAAAATAGAGCTACCCTACAATCCAGTAATTGCACTACTGGGTATTTATACAGAGGATACAAAAATACTAATTCAAAGAGATTCATGCACCCTAATGTTTATAGCAGCATCTTCTACAATAGCAAAGCTATGGAAACAGCCTAACTGTCCCTCGACTGATGATGACTGTTTTGTTTCCTAATTCTTGTTCTTATTCATAAATACATATGTATAGATCTCGCATCTTTATCCATTCATCTGTCGATGGACATCTGGGCTCTTTCCATAGTTTGGCTGCTGTGGACACTGCT